TCAGTATTACTTTATTAAAAAAATAAAGAATATTTTCATCATGACTTAAGAGATTCCCTATTTACGTTTCATCTTGTTTGGCCGCAGTTGTTAAAGTTTTAATTACCATGCTTACAATTGTAGTTGAATATTTGAAACAATGGAGAAATTGACCTTCGCAATAGTCAGTTTTGAGACGAAAAAATAATTTAAAATTGTACTTAAGTTTGTCGTTATACTAATAACATTGTAGAAAGAACAAGAAAACGAACAAGCATTTTCCACATGAATCAAATTAAAATTGTATCAGAGCATTGTTGGTATCAGAGTCTTATCACCTTCTCCAGTTCTCCACGACTTACGACTCCATTCCACACCGACGGCCTGACGGTTTTCACGACTCCACTCCACACCGACGGCCTAACGGTTTCCTGCCCTGCCCGCCATCAGTCCATTCTAGAATGAATCGTACTCTCACTAATTGTAAAGATATCGGTGAATGTTTTGAAGCGTTGCCTAAGGTGAAATTTGTTCAATTTATATGAACTTCTGAATACATAGTGGTTACTTTGCCATCGGCGCTGGAGGATTTCGCCATCAATGCTATGTATAATATGCCAAATGCGATTATCCGGATTCTCAATCATTTGTTTGGAGTTTTTGGAGTTAAGGCTCTTTTTGTTGCTGGGGCAACTCCAGGATGTTTTCAGATTCAGGGGACGCCCATGAAATAAATTTTGTCCAAACAATGTGATAATTGAAGTGGATGGTGAGTTTTTTGCATGTATTTATTTTACTTATATATAATTTTTAAGAGATCAAGATTGAACTGAATCTGTATTGTAGGTATTTAAAAAAATATATATAATGCTTATTTCATAGTATTTTTGGACGAAAACGATCCAAAGCAGATAAAATTTTCATAGCTAATCCATGAGATTCGATAGATCCCAGGACTGATCCAATTGCCAAATTAAACGCATGATTGTTGCCAAATTTTATTTGCATTCAGTTTGAGGACAGGGCCCAATGAAGATATCGGTCAACTCTGAGTCCATCAAGTTTCAAACTGATGGAGTAATGTAACGTAAGTAATTAACCTAATGTGACCTGTTAACTTTTTGTCAATTATATTCTTTGAGTTTTTAATAAAGTTTAGTGGTTTAAATATGTAGTTTGATGCAGTTTGACAAAAGGTGAAAACGAATTGCCTGATTGGTTAACTCGATATTAAGTTTGATTTTACATTTTTGAGGGGGTGCCACCAAGTTTTTAATTTGTTTGAATTGCATGTAGTTGAATGTTTGAAACAATGAAGAAATTGACCGTCGCAATGGTCAGTTTTGAGACGAAAAAATAATTTAAAATTGTACCTAAATTTAACAAAATGTTTTTTTATGAATTGCCATTGATAAATACCATCCCATGTGAATGATGTATCCCTATTTGTATTATGTTTATTTATGGTATTTGTAGTATCTATAGGTGTTGAATCATAACCATCACTATGAATTAAAAAATAGTTTCACTCCCATTGATTAAGTACATTGTCTAATCACGTAAATTTTAGTTTTTTTTTTTTTTTGTTATTATTAACTTCAACAAATTCGTATCAACGCATTGTTGGTATCAGAGCACATAATTTTATTTATTTATTAAAATAACCAAGCTTTATTTATTAATAAATGAGAGGCTCATTTTGGGATTTGATTTACACCACCCGCGCGCGAGAAAGAGCCTTTATGTTATACAATTCGAGCACATAATTGATATCAGAGTACAATTGTTATCAGAGCATTATTGAGATAACCAGTTCAATTATGAAAATTTTAGGTATCAAAGTTTGATGGTATATCGAATTTCGAGTTATGACAATCTATGGTTAAAGATTTGTTGAAACATCTAGACCTTCTAAATTTTTTTAGGTGGAAAATCGACTAATCTAGAAGATGTTGATTGGGGAGAGCTGATGAAGCAGGAAGTTACAAACATGGTACAAGTCAATGACAGAACTCTGAAATTCCAATTGCTACATAACTCTGACAGTATAAAATTGACTCAGTCTTTGGTGGTTGCTACGTAACCGATCAATTATATACACCTAATCGACCGAAATCGAATATGTCGGTTTCGGTCCGCTATTTCGTTAATCGAAAAACCGATATTATTTACCCTCCACAATAAATAAAATGTAAAATTATAAATAGTAAATAAATGGACAGTGGACAATCAACACTGGAATTCAACAGACACTTCACAATTCACACTAAATAAAATTAAAGTCATGACATATTCCATTTCACAGTAAATAAAATTAAAGTAAGCATAAAAATCCAAAGTCATGACATTTCAAAATTCAAAGTTCATCAACTTTTAACAAAATTCACACCGGAGAGTGGACAATCAACAATGAAATTTCAGTAGACACTTCACTCTTCATTCATCTACAAGCACTTCAATCTTCATTCATAAACATACACTTCAATCTTGTATATACTTCAAAGTGAACAACTACTCAAATGGAAATTAGATTGCATTACATTTGAATGGCTTTGATTATTGAACCCTTGAGATGTGAGAGTTGGAACTTGAAGAAACGGAGCAAGTCCGCGACTTTCCGAGGGTGACTCGTGACTGGGTGAGTGAGAGCCGCAATAAGCCACAACTCATTAAGGACAACTGGACAGTGGATGGGAGAATTGAGGACTTAGGGTTCTACTTGACTGCTTGTCTGCTTCTGCCACTAGAGAGAAAAGGGTTGGAGGTTCAACTATTCAAGAATCTAGAGTGTTTTACATATACTAAATGTTTAATTGTTTAATACTATAATTGAATAATTGGGTTTGGGAGTTGGACACTTGGGCATTTGGAATTTTAGAAATCATTTGGGTCTTACGCAATCAGTACTCCAAGCCTCCAACAGTAAGTAGTCCAGTGAATAATATTTATTTATTTATATATAAACTATCGGTTATTTGGTGACCGATTTTTATAAAAGCTCATAACCGATAATTAACCGAATAACCGTATAACTGTATAACCGATTTTTTTTTTTTAACATGGTAATCGATAATCGAAATTTTCGGTCGATTCAGTTATCGGTTATCAATTTTTCGATAATTTTGCTCACCCATAAGCTTAAGTGCACAAGTGCTAGTGCACACACTTGAATCATCATTGAAGATTCAATACTAATTGTTTACGATGGGAATTCAATACTAATTCAGGGATTACATTCACTCTTATCAGTACTATACTAGTAAATGAAGACCCACTAGTGGATTTTCTATTAGAGATAAGAATTGCTCATAGGGGAGGGTTCTACTAGTGGATTTTCACCCTCACCTCCAGCCTCAATGATTTATTGATAAACTTCTTTGCTTCGTACATATAACTCATTAACTCTCCACCAATTTCATTTTGAAAATTGCAATGCGATTATCATCTAAAGATTGATGAGATTTGATCCATTCTTTTTCTAAATTTGAAATTTCAATTATCATAAATTCACAACTGTTAACGTATTTTTTTTTTGACAAATTCATTAATTTTTTATTATATCTTCACCACCAGCATTGATAGCTTCAGCACCATATTTGACGATTTCATCCATACCCTAGAGAGAGGAGAGAGCGACAGAGGGAGCTAGGGGTGGGGCGGTGTGTTTGGATTATGGAAATTAAAATATATATATATATATATATATATATATATATATATATATATATATATATATATATATATATATAGGCGGGTTCAGGTGCGGTAGTGTCTTACGGTGCGGTTATTTCTTACGGTGCGGCAACACCAATAGTTCACCAAATATGCACCATCAACTTTAGGAAATACACCACACAAAACAGAGTAAACAGAGCCCTGCATCACCAAACACACACCATTAGGTGTGAGTAAAAACACCATACACTGTTCGGAAATACACCATTGGGAGTGGTGAGTTATATGGTGTGTTTTTTTGAGTCTGTGGTGTATTTTGTGATGTTTTATTACATTTCATTGGGGTGTGTTTTTATTACACTGTTGGTGCATATTGTTAACACTGTTGGTGTATTCTGAAATTTGACCGCACCGCCGCACCGTAAGACCCCGCCGCATATGAGCGCCCTTATATATATATATATATATATATATATATATATATATATATATATATATATATATATATATATATATATATATATCTAAAAACATAATAAGTGTGAATGAAAGTTATACCCCTAATTTATGTCTGTTTTTTCCGTTAAGTTTTTTTGTACATTATGCTATAAAGGTTGTACATTAAAATATTTTGGACAAACATATCCCTACCGTTATAACTTCCGTTATCTTTTCCACTATTGTTACCATGCACATGCATCCACCATATATTTTCTTATTTTCTTCATTAATAATAATATATACACATTAAATATTTGAGTTATATGTTAATTATTACATAAATATAAATATCAAATTTATAAAAATGATTTACATTATTATTATTATTATTATTATTTAGAATAATTTAAATATCTAAAATCTAAATAAATTTAAAAATTTAATATAATGTATTAATATTGGGCACCTATTTTTTGCGCATCGCGCATAAAAAATACTAGTATATATATATATATATATATATATATAAACAACCCCAAAATTAATATATTATTTAAATTTTTTGTTAATATTTTAAAATTCAAGATTTTAGTTAAGATTCTTTTTTTTTATTTCCTCTTTCACTATTTTCTCTTTCTTAAGTACACCTGTAAAAATTATTTAAAAATTCACCACTATTAAGAATTAAGAATGCCTTAAAATAACTTAAACCAAATATAGTAATATAAGTTTTGAAATGTCACATTTTCTTGGTTATGTTGTGTAACTTGAACCAAAGAGTGACTATTAAACACAGCAAAAGACGCGAGAAACGACGGCGTGGCGAAGGCTAGCTTCAGATAATAACCCAGAAGAGTCGAGCGAGTGTGACGGCGAAGTAATACAGTAGGCAAAGAAAAATCTAGTGGTTTCTACTTGGGTTCTAGACTTCTCTTCTCAGCTCAACAAAATGGGACCTCTCTTCTCTTCTCTCCCACCTCAAAGCGCATACACTTCCAGATTCTCTGCACAAAATACATCAAACACTTACACCAAAAGCCATCTATACTTTTTCGTTGTTCACAGGTACGTGATCTATCTATATTGATATATTCAGTATCGGATCGACAATTACGTTTATTTTTATTTATATTTTTGCAATGAAATCATGCATAGTGCTCGGGATTGCGCATTTGTTTATTGGCTAGGTTAAAATTTCAAAGCTTATACTGTTTTATGTTAGTGAATAATGTTATTTGTATTATGAATGCTTCTGCGGTTCTCTGTTTAGCAGCTCCTTTGATTGTGTAGTTTAGTTCCTGTCTCTGTGCTGTTGTTCTCAAAGAAATCACTGGATATGATGCTAGCGTGCGAGAAATTCAGTAGCATCCTGATCAATTTTGTGTATTCTGTTGTTGCAGTGATATTTTATTAAATCTAGTGTGATGAATCCGGAGAAATTCACTCACAAGACTAATGAAGCCCTTGTCGGGGCTCATGAGCTGGCCATGAACGCAGGGCATGCTCAAATTATACCCTTGCATGTGGCTGTGTTCTTGCTTTCCGACCATAATGGTGTTTTTTGGCAAGCGATTGTGAATGCCAGTGGTGGTGAGGAAGGGGCGAAATCGGTTGAGAGGGTATTCAATCAGGCGTTGAAGAAGTTGCCCTCTCAGACTCCGCCTCCTGACGAAGTCCCGGCTGGTACTTCACTGATCAAGGCAATCCGGCGGGCGCAGGGATTGCAGAAGTCCCGGAAGGACACGCATTTGGCTGTTGATCAGTTGATTTTGGGACTGTTGGAGGATTCCCAAATTGGGGACCTTTTGAAAGAAGCTGGGGTTAGTGCAACTAGAGTGAAATCTGAGGTTGAGAAGCTTCGAGGAAAGGAGGGGAGAAAGGTTGAGAGTGCTTCAGGGGATACTACATTCCAAGCACTTAAGACTTATGGCCGTGATCTTGTGGAGCAGGCGGGAAAGCTTGATCCTGTGATTGGTAGGGATGAGGAGATCCGAAGGGTTGTTCGGATTCTCTCAAGAAGGACAAAGAATAATCCAGTTCTTATTGGAGAGCCCGGGGTTGGGAAAACAGCAGTTGTTGAAGGCTTAGCACAACGGATTGTTAGAGGTGATGTTCCAAGTAATCTTGCTGATGTTAGACTTATAGCATTGGATATGGGAGCATTGGTGGCTGGAGCGAAGTATAGAGGTGAGTTTGAAGAGAGGCTGAAGGCTGTTCTAAAAGAAGTTGAGGAAGCAGCAGGGAAAGTGATTCTCTTCATTGATGAAATACATTTGGTTTTGGGGGCTGGACGGACAGAGGGGTCTATGGATGCTGCCAACCTCTTCAAGCCAATGCTAGCTAGGGGCCAGTTGAGGTGCATTGGAGCCACAACACTAGAGGAGTACAGAAAATATGTGGAGAAGGATGCTGCATTCGAAAGGCGTTTCCAACAGGTTTATGTTGCTGAGCCTAGTGTAGCTGACACAATCAGTATCCTACGAGGGTTGAAGGAGAGGTATGAAGGACATCATGGTGTAAAGATTCAGGACAGAGCCCTTGTGATTGCAGCCCAACTCTCTGCTCGATACATCACAGGTACAGATTCTTGCATCTCTAACTTGGATAAAATCTCTGTGGTCACTAAACTAGAAACTAGGAAAACTACATTGTTGACCATGGTCTTACCCCTATATTAGCTTTGTCTTATAGTTCATGTAGATGTGCATCAAATGACTAATCTGTGCACTACAATACAAAAATTGAAGTTTTCAGATGCATTATGTTTTTCTAGTATTGATATGTTTTGCTCACTTCGTTACTGACTAGATGCCCTTAAATTTTGAAATCAGGACGACATTTGCCAGATAAGGCTATTGACTTAGTAGATGAGGCTTGTGCCAATGTGAGAGTCCAGCTTGATAGTCAACCTGAAGAGATTGATAATCTGGAGAGGAAAAGGATTCAGTTGGAGGTAGAACTTCATGCACTTGAAAAGGAGAAAGACAAGGCTAGTAAAGCTCGACTTGTTGAAGTAAGGATAATCTTCAAACATTGTTCTTTTATTGGATTATATTTTGTATACATATGCTAATGCCGTAATTAATTACTAACTTTTAGGTGAGGAAGGAACTTGATGACTTGAGGGACAAGCTCCAACCTCTATTGATGAAATACACCAAGGAAAAGGAACGAATCGATGAGCTCCGACGGCTCAAACAGAAGAGGGATGAGCTTATGATTGCTTTACAAGAAGCTGAGAGGAGATATGATCTTGCTAGAGCTGCAGATTTGAGATATGGGGCAATTGAAGAGGTGGAAGCCGCATTAGCAAAGCTTGAGAATAGATCCGAGGAGGATAAAGAGGGCACAATGTTAACTGAGGCTGTTGGACCAGATCAAATTGCAGAAGTAGTGAGCCGCTGGACAGGTATACCTGTCACAAGGCTTGGTCAGAATGAGAAAGAGAGATTGATCGGCCTTGCTGAGCGGTTGCACCAACGAGTGGTGGGACAAGATCATGCAGTTAGTGCTGTTGCGGAGGCGGTGTTGAGGTCTAGAGCAGGATTAGGAAGGCCACAACAACCCACTGGTTCATTCCTTTTCTTGGGGCCCACTGGTGTTGGAAAAACTGAGCTCGCAAAAGCTCTTGCAGAGCAGTTGTTTGATGATGACAAATTGATGATTAGGATTGACATGTCTGAGTACATGGAGCAACATTCAATCGCCCGACTAATTGGAGCTCCACCAGGGTAAGTTGAGCCAGATCTTTGACATTTACAGTTGATATATTGCAGGTAGTTAGTTATGATGCTTACACTGATATACTATTTTCAGTTATGTTGGACACGAGGAAGGTGGTCAGCTTACAGAAGCTGTAAGGAGGCGACCTTACAGTGTTGTACTTTTCGACGAAGTAGAGAAAGCTCATCCAACCGTGTTCAATACCTTACTTCAAGTTCTGGATGACGGAAGGTTGACTGATGGACAAGGTCGTACAGTTGATTTTACTAATACTGTTATCATAATGACTTCGAATCTTGGAGCTGAGTACCTCTTACGAGGGCTCATGGGCAAATGCAGCATGGAGAGTGCTCGTGAAAAGGTGATGCAGGAGGTAAGTTGTAATAACCTTTGAGGTGGAAATTGCTTTTACTTAGATTGAAGCAACGCCAGTCACCAATTATGATCACATATTACAATTTTGACAGGTGAGGAAACACTTCAAACCCGAGTTGTTGAATCGCCTCGATGAGATTGTAGTGTTTGATCCTTTATCTCATGAGCAATTGAGGAAAGTATGCCGCCTTCAACTAAAAGACGTGGCAGCTCGTCTAGCCGAGAGAGGTATTGCATTGGGCGTAAGCGAGGCAGCTTTGGATGTTATACTGGCACAGAGCTATGACCCAGTAAGTGAATGAACTTCACTTTATTCTACTATGTATATGGTTATATATGTATATATCATCCATTGCTTAACAAACCCACCCTGTTTTCCTTACTCTTCAAGGTTTATGGCGCAAGACCGATTAGGAGATGGTTGGAGAAGAAGGTAGTGACAGAGCTGTCAAAGATGCTTGTGAAGGGGGAGATAGATGAAAACTCCACAGTATATATCGATGTCGGGGCTGAGGCTGACGGGGAGCTTACATATCGGGTGGAATATGGAGGGCTTGTGAATGCTGCCACCGGACAGAAAGCCGATATCCTTATTGACATCCCCAGTGGCCCTAGGAGTGATGCATCCCAAGCTGTTAAAAAGTTGAAAATTGAAGAAATTGACGACGATGTTGATATGGAGGATTGAAGAAGAAACACAATGCCAGATATTAACATGCTAATGTGTATGGAAAAGAATGTTTCTTAAGGTTGTTTGTCTTCCTTCTTGATGAGAGTGTGTTGGTTTCTGTATAAATATATAAATAATAAAATGCCATGTCTATAATTCCTTGAGGATTTTTCTTTTAATACCCCGAGGGAAACAAAATTAGATTAGATTGTAGTTAGACTTGTCCAATGTATCTAATTATGTATGTATGTATGTATTTCTAGCCTCGAGACATTAGCAGCCGAAAGCAGACCGACAAAAGTAGGTCCCATATCCTCTCTCTCAGTTGTTGTACAAATTAAAGATAGTTGTGCACCATATTTCTTCTTGGATTTGATGAATAATTGGTATGAGAATACCATACGTTGCATATAACTCAGCTGAACCACATATTAGACTTTTCCTTATTGCGTATAAGGAGTTCCTTTTGTTTATAGCGCACAAGAAGTCCTTCATTTTGAGAAGTTGCTCTCATATTATTGGTGAGACTCGATCCCTAATTATTTTTTTTTTTAAATTTTACCGTTATGACTAATTGAGCTGTTCATGCGGGTTACATTTGGATATTTTGAGAGGGGAATAGGCTGCAACTTCGATCTCATTAGAAGAAGATGAAAAATGAAAAAGTAAAACTATACGACTAAATTTTTTTTGGAATTAGTTAGTGCGTGTTGTGTCAATATTCAACGGTAAGACAAGAACATAAATAAGTGCCAAAGAAGGTATATATACTATTACTTTCTTTTTGTGACCAAACGATTTAACTTAATTTGTGTTAGATGTGAAAAGTTTAACAAGATTGTATAGTAAAGTTTAAAGTATAGAAACATGCAAATGAAGACATTTGAGCATCAAACACCTACACACTTGACTGGTTGAGCCAAGTTTCATGGCTCCATAGTCCTATTATGTACTGTTGATGCAGTGGCATCTCTCACATTTGAAGTTTGAACCAAAGTCCCCTAATACATCTCTCTCTCTTATGGTTATGGATAGCAAAAAAGTAAGAAAGAAAATTACTAAAAGTAAAAGTGATAAATCACAAACCGACACCAGAGACCAGCCTGGTCCACTTCCAACTCACCACCTATATCATCATGTACTAGCAGAGCAGCCTGTTACCATCCTCCACCATTACACAACACATACATACACCTTTGCCCTTTGTATTTTCTGCCTGAAAGATCCATCACTTCCCAAACACACCCCCCTCTCTTTCTCACTCCCCACTACTATACATCTTCTGCTTAGCAGCCTTTTTATCACCATTTCTGAGCACCCATTCTAAACACTTCCTAAACAGCCCACACAGCCACCTTGTGTTGTCCTCTCAGCTCACTACTGTCATGGCTTCCTTGGTGTTTGCACTGCTCCTTCTGGCCATGGCTGGTCATTCAAGTAAGATCTCTGCTTCTTTTTTTGCCTTATTTTTGTGTATCAGTTTAAAGCTAAGATCTTTCTTGAAAACCCATGGTATGTATGTGTTCTTTTAGTATATATATGGGGAGACAGAGTTGAATCTCTCCCTGCATCCTTTCTGCATTTGCCTCAGTAACCATTCCTCTATGTGACAAACTATATACTGATGTTCCCACTTGAAAAAGTTCCAGTCTTGATACTTATTTCATTTGTTTTTGCTTTTGAGAAACTGAAAATGCTACCAAGAATGAGGCACCAGTAAATGTGCATATTTCTTGAACCCTTTTTTCTTTCATGGCAGGTGGAAGTGCAACATGGTGTGTTTGCAAGGAAGGAATGGGGGATTCAGCATTGCAGAAGACACTGGACTATGCCTGTGGAGCAGGGGCAGACTGCAACCCCATTAAACCAAATGGGCAATGCTACAACCCCAACACAGTGAGAGCTCACTGCAACTATGCAGTCAACAGCTATTTCCAGAAAAGGGGCCAAGCTGCTGGGGCATGTGACTTTGCCAGCACTGCCACTGTGGCCACCTCTGACCCTAGTGAGCTCCCAACACAAAACCCTAACTTTCTTGCTCTTAATATTTCCATGGATGTTAAACACTTTTGGTATTAATTTGCTGGTTTTTGGTGTCATTTATAGGTGTGACTGGCTGTGTTTATCCTTCTAGTGCAAGGTATGACACTATGACTGCTTAACTGAGTGATATATTCTGCACTATATACACTAATATAACTTATTATTCTTAAGTTGGGTATATGGTGATTTTGTAATATTACAGTAAAGTTTTCATCTTTTTTTTTGGGTGACGAGCGAAATTACAATCACAACCTGAGAGTGTGTATTAGGTAAACTAGTCTAGGTTGTTCATAGCTGATCAGTTCAAACCAATAAGGCCAATAGATCGTATTGAAAGTAGAATTTGTAATCTTGTGGTTAATTTGACGGGCGTTATTACAGTAAAGTTTTTTGTGGTGTCTTATCTGGGGTCCTTCTGGCAGAAGTTTATTGGCCATTTTATGACAGTCAAATTATGGCCAAGTTGAATAACAAAAAAATGGTGTTGAATGTTTATGCAAATAAGTCTTTTTGGTGGGGACCATTCTTCTGCCTTTGTTAGGAATCTGATTTTCTTTTAAAATTATGTCTACTTCTCTTATGGATTTTTTATTTTTATATGTATATATCACCATTATATGTATAAAAACTTGAATCAGCTACTCAAACTCGTCTTATTAGGATTTAAGAGCTCAGATATCTGGTATTACTTGATCTGTTATCATCCATATACTTTTGATAATTCAGTTTTCAATTTTCAAATGAAAGTGGGATTCTTTCACACATCCCAAGGAGCAATTGTAGGCCCTTTCAAGTAATCAATTAGCCACTCCTAGTAGTTAAAAAATACACTTATTTGAACAACATTAGTATATTTACTACTATTTAGGATAGGTTTCCTATGATGTCTAAAGCTGTGTTTGCTTTAGTAGGAGCCTTCTAGTAATGGGTGGGGCCCCCTTCTTTCCCTTTCTACTTTAGTGGGACAAACATCTCCCAAATCAGAATAAAGTTTAATTAGCAGATTAAACAATGAAGCTTTTACCTTTGGCATAACACCATGCAAGTAAAATCTATCCATTCTCCCACCAATCTTCCCTGCTTTTGATCTAATCTAAATATGGCTTCTTTTTGTCTCTCATTTCATAGATCATAATTGCATAATGATGATGATGTCTTTGACTATAAAAAGTTTAAATTTTTATCATCAATTCTCCATACTTGTTCAAAAAATGGTGCAATTATCATAGGTAATTTAGAGTTGAACTTCCTAGATTGGAGTTAGGCTTCTCAAGTTGAACTGGGATTGGTGTTAGAGTTTGATTCGTTTTGTGCAGAAGTGTACAGTCAGGTGTGGGTCTTAATGCTGACCATGTACGCTTTACCTTCTCATGAACCTAAGGAATAGGGTTATCTGGTTTAGGATATAGTCCGATAAAACTCAAAAATCTACGCAAAAAAAAAATAAAAAAAATAGTGCAATTATTGGATTGAGAGCATCCAAAGCTCCTTTTGCTCAAAGGGCAAGATAAGGATTAAGGAAAGTGAAAGTAAGGGTATTGAAAAGACAATGGTGCCCCTCATTTACCCTAGAGACATGGACAATCCTTGGCCTTTGTAAAGGTTGGTGGGGGTATAAAGGCAAGTGGACAGTGTGAAGTAGGACTGTCTGTCCTATCCACACTGAAGCTGCAAAAGCAGTATTTGGTGGTGCAAATATTTATACATATAGTATGAGTGGTGGCTGTTGTAAACATGATTTCTTGAAGGCTGTGCACACATGTTGGTATCCAATAGCTGTTAGATTTCAGTCCAAACCATATCCAAGGCCTTGTGGGAAATCAACTGTAGCTTTAGGTTGTCAGTTCTATAATAAAGTTTGTCAACTGAAATGTGTCACCTAGGGTTCACCTCACATCCTCATAATGTATAGTACCTCCCACATCCGCTAGTGAATCAACGACTACTTAAGTGAAAGAACCATTATAGAGGGTGAAACTCCAACACTATAGTTATCAAGATTCAATCTTTCGTTTTTGGGTGCAATTAGTCACTCGGGAACCAAATGAGCTCAACTCACGGGTAAATGAAGGGCATTTAGCTCACGGGATATAAGATAACACTAGATAATAATATTAACTTTTTAGTTAATATTGTAAAAATATAGTATGTCATTAATTATTTATTGGTATGATATATGAGGCTAATTTGTGATAATCTTGACTGGTTGATTTGCACAATAGTGGTGGTGGTGGTGGTGGCGGCGGCAGCAGCACAACAACAACCAGTCCCACTACTAACACCGGACTGCCATCCACCGGCTCCCCGATCGTCACAACTCCCAACGGCGGTTCTCTTGGCGGCAGTGGCGTCGGAATCAACAACGGCTTAGGTCCATCGGGTAACGGCATGAACGACATGAGCCACGGTGGGATTTCTCAACAAGGGACCCTCCCCTTCATCACCCTCATATCCTATGCTGTAGCATCATGCTATTGGTGGCTCCAATAATAACTATATTATGGTAATCATTTTAATTTCTCACATTTTCACATTACGTATCTTATCTTAAAAAATAATATAATTGAATTTTCTGATTGTTTCAGAATTATATTGCTGATGGGAATGAATGATGAATGGATGTGATGAGCGGCTACTACTATCTATCACTATCAGGTGTGCAAGGAGTATCATATCTTTGGACAGCCCTGCTTCTTCTTCTTTTTAATTTTTATTTTAATTTGTATATTAGTACTTTGGAGCTGAGAACGTTAATCATATATTAGTAATGTTGTCGGATGTATCTTTTGTGTTCTGTAACTCTTTAAATACTACTAGGAGGATAAAAATGATGTCTGTATGTTCTACTAAACTTCCTTCCTTCATCATTTATTTTCTCCTCCCCAAATCTTAGCTCTAATTTCCAAATTTACGGTGCAATTAAAGTCATAAAAAAAAACTATCCGACAACATTCCCGACATGGAATATTCCCATTCCAAGTATGTTGAATATTCTACCAGAGCACCCCACGTGCCATGTGAGGATGCATAATCCACGAATAAACAAACATTAGGGAGTACGTAAGATTATATTTGTATATTTACTCAAAATCATACAATCTTGGGGCATTCCTCAGCATCGAATTAACGAGAATCTCACGGGAAGTAACATATGGTGGTGAAGTCTTCAGTGTAGAATGGGATGTTCTGTTCTATGATACCTCTTGAAATGTTGAATCTTTTTTGTCTATTGATACACTTTTGATTTCTGGGAGTTTATTGTTGTCCAGTCTTTCGTTGAACTGTTCTCTCAGAAACTCTACGGCCATGAAGGTGAGAGCAGATGCTGGGAAGTACCATGCAATTCTGGGAATGCTGCCTCTGAACATCCCTCTTAAACCTTCAGTTGCCCATATCTTGTGAACCGCGTCTGACCAACCACTATACCTGGAAGCGTACAGAATTTGAAAAGAGAAGACGTTAAATGGAGTTCATTACAGTTGTTGGTGTTATATCATCGTCTATTTCAATGGAAAAAATGTATTTATAAAGACAAACAAGAGGATTTTTTAGACAGAATTTCATATTTGCCAAACACTGCATAGTTCCTAACTCAAGATGTTGATGTCAGATTGTCATGCCAACGAGCTGTCTACTTAGTCTTTCCAGATACAGAAAGGGTAATGTTGAATTGTTAATGATCGTGAAACTATGCCAAAAATCAAGGGTCTTTTGATCTCTAAAATTAGACAAAGCAGCTATTATGTCATTACATACTAGTGGTGAACATATGGTTACATCTATCCACTTCTAGTCAAATTGCAGTATGAAATTCTGGGGAAGACCGTTTGTGAAAGTGGATGTGCGGTGATAGAAGGAATAAAAATAAACAGCAGGATGATTGAAGGAATACCTCACTATTTTCCCCTGCACTTGTAATCTTGTTTTAATAACATCCAAGGGTGTGGTGAGATATGCAGTCAAACCTGTAACGTGCAAGTGAAATCAGAATGAACATCAGTTGCATGGTTCTATATAATTCAAATGCAATAAACGAGTAGCATTTGGTCACAACACCATGAAATGCTTACCCCCAGCCAGTCCTCCCAACAAGAGCCCTTCAAGAGAGCTATTTAATTGCAAATTTGAGTTGGGAAACCATTTCTGTCTTCCATATTCTGTCATATTTTTGAAGGCCTCATAGAAAGTAACCTGTAAGATGAAAATTAGAAGCTCTGAGTAAAATCATTCACTAAACCCAAGAACTTTAATATAAGTGTGATTGTCAATGTCTGCTTCTTGGATAAATCATCTGGCCTATCAACAAACTGAGGTTTGACCCAGGCCAGTTTTGGGCTGAAATCCCAAACTCGCATGCCAGACACATCTACTTACAGCCCAAGGGGTTGTTAATTCCAAATCCTCCTCCAAGAACCAAACCACCCCTTTAGGTTCCAAGCAATGTTTACCAGTTTATCTCATTATCTAAACCACCCTAAGAATCCTCTTTATGGTGCTTCTCTCATGATCTAAATGCATCACTATATCCTTACTCTTCACCAAACTCATTAGCCATAACTTCTTTCCTCCCTATGAACCACAAAACTACACTGGATGGGGCATTAAATGCAGTCTCCACTCTTCAGGTATGTCTAACATCAGGCCTCACATAAGATTCACACAAAGTTTGCTACAAGACTAAAATTGTCCAAAAGCAGCCAAGCAAAAAAAAAAAAAAGGATTATCCTTGAACATTCAGAGCAATGACATTGTACCATTAAACCAGCAAATGGCAAATCCCTAGCAAGTGTAGACCAGTATCTGCAAAAATAATCACAAATAACTTTACAATCAGAGCTAGAGATCATACCAATTAGACTTAACTAGTTCTTTTTTCTTTTCTTTCCTTTTTAAATTAACATGTTGAATTATGCATCCAGATAAATTTTAAAGAAAAAAAAAATCAAAATGTACCCTGCATATAAACCCTTTGGCCCCTGCTCCTTCCAAATAGAGCAGCCAGCTTGAAACATTCCTGAATAGTAACCATAGTTCATGCCCTGTTTCATGTGGGAGCCATCCTTTGATATAACAGAAGTCCAATACTTCCTAGTGCCTTGGACCTGCATGCGTTGTTTTATCACTTCACATGGGACATATACAAATGAACCTAATGCATCACCTAAAAAAGAAAAAAGAGAAAATAATTTATTTTTGAGTCCAAAGGTGTGGCAACACTCCAATAAACACAGATGACTAATCCAACTCAAAGTGAAAGGAAAATGCAAAGGTAGAAGCAAGGTTACCTATAGCTCCAGCAATGAAATGTGCCCAGTGGCCACTAAGATTTGGATGGGAATGTTCAATCCACTTTTTTGTGGACTCTATGACCCCAAAATATGTAGCTCCAGTAGCAAGAGATCCCGTAATTCCCGGTGTTACTCCTCTATAAAATCCTGCCATAGAAATCAATTATGTCAGAACCAACTTCTGATGATGAATACAGAACTCCAGATTAATATTTAGCCCAATTGGAAAAAAAAAAAAAAATCAAGAGGAAATGGTGTACCAGCTAAACTATCTTTAGCCCAAACAGTTCGGATCATCTGTAATACACTTTTCTGGTTCTGGAAATAATCAAATTACAGTTGCAGTCATCTATATATTTTGTAATTTGTAACAACTCGATCACAGAGAATCAATGAGGAATGATTATTTATCATTGTTTGATATTGCTACCTGAGACCCACTGAGAATGGCTTGGCTTTGAATGCGAGTTTTAATGGTATCCATCGGGTGCATCATTCCTTCCCCAAAAGCTCCGGCAATTGCACCCCATACGAACTCCCTCCAAACTGCAGATGAAAATGAAAATGAGAATGCACAGAACAAACAACAATATATTCAGACACTTCCACCTCAAAATAGCTCATCTCATCCGCCAGGAGCAAACATCTAATCGTTGCCAGTGGAGTCGTATTAAGCATTTATTAGAGATTATATGTATAAACTCACTAATATATTATCATGGTGCTTACCGAAAAACTGGTTGCGGGTTGAGTTGTTAGGATGAGCTGTTAGAGCTTTTGATGAATGTTTAGAAGTTGGACTTGAGGACGCCATTGATGAACTGTGCAGCCGGGGGAAAGCGTTAGGGTTTTCGAGAGGTTTTTGGTGACTTTGAAGAAGACGAGGTGCTTGCTTGCGGGAAGGGGTAAATCTCAATTCCAATATTGCCCAAAATGGTTCCCTCCAAAAGACTTACCGAGCAGTTAAACAAAAATTCAACCGCGTCTTTGACAATATGCAAGTAATTATTGACTGAGTGGGTTATTTTTTTATTTCTTTTTTTGAATATTGACTGAGTAGGTAAAATCATTAATTTGAACTTGAGTTAATTCCAGCAATGGTCTTCCGACTATGTTGATTTTTCACAATTGATCCCTGACTTTTAATTTGGACAATTTAGACACTTGACTTTTGAAATCTTTCCAATGTTGGTCCTTCCGTCAATTGAAGGTTAAGTGAATGTTAGTTTGAGGGGTAAAGTAGTCAATTTACATGTTTGAGTATAATTCACCGTCTATTTCCTTGTAATCATTCTCTACCAGAAAATTATAGGAGGACAACGCCGACAGATCCACCAGCGAGAGAGGAGATTCAACTTGGCCCAACCTGGAATCAGAGAAAAAAATATCTACAGAGATGGAGTGAATGGCAAGATTTTTTTTGTTACGTCTTCCTCTGCTTTCGTTTCATATATTGGATCTGAGTGTGGAGTGTTGAGGAAAGCATGCAATCGTTGTTCTTAATTTGGATTATGGATTCTCTCTCGTCGGTATCGCCACCGTTCGTTCTCCCTCTCGGGAAGCCTCTCCGACACCATCATCGCTGGCGGCGAATATCTGTGTCCTCCAAGGTTAAGCTCGCTCGTCAATTACGCCTATCTTTTTCCTCCGGTATTCCGCGCAGCTCGTTCGGGCATACTAGTGATAGCCTCGATCGGAGTAGAACACCGGAAGTGTATTGTAAATTAGGCGGCGGAGAAAGCGGAGACGGCGGAGAAGAAGGTCGGCGGCGAGACGAGGAGGTGGAGAGTGCGCTTCGAATGGACGGTACTATTCCGGGGACTCTCAACGAGTTCGTAAAGTAAGTGTCATCACACGCCTACGACATGTGGAGGCATCTTCAACAGAGTTTTGATAGCAGCAGCTATGATGATATATTCTGCAGTTTCCTTTCTTCTTTCAATTTCGTCTTCATAAACTGATTTATTGTGCTCAAATTCCCCAGCTTTGCTATAGACTTGTGCCTCCATTGCTCACTGTGAAATTGTTCTAAATGAAATCCTGCAAAACATTCCTATACTGCTTCTTCTCTACCTAAAGATTTTTTTTTTTCTAAAAGGCTAGATCTTATTGCATTGATCTCGTTTTCCATAAATTGTTCCGCAGTTGTGGATGGTGGAGGCAATTTGAGAGGGTTTTTTTGCAGCAAATCGTGAGGGATCGGAGAAGGTGCCGGTGTACTGTGTCAGTAGGTTTGGGCAATTGAAGAGATGAACGAAGAGGAAAAATGAACCCAAGCAATAATAATGACGATTTTAACCCAAAACTTAACACCTAACTAACGGTAAGATGACGGAAGGACCAACATTGGAAAGATTTCGAAAGTCAAGTGTCTAAATTGTCCAAATTAAAAGTCGAGGATCAATTGTGAAAAATCAACATAGTTGGAGGACCAATGGCGGAATTAACTCTTTGAACTTTTCTCAACATTTCTATAGTCAATTTTATACTCCGTAATACATAACCATGGTAAAATAGTTAACTTATAGATAAATTTTAATTTATTTA